CCCACGACGGTGCCGCAGCGCCACGGCGTGCATTGCGCGCCAAGCCTTCAGCTGAGAGACGGAGGGCTTACTTTTTGGACGGAGCGGAGGGCTTACTTTTTGGACGGAGCTCTGATCGACGCAATTGCGGTCAGATACTTCCCTGCGGTACCCTTTTTGCGGTCAGATACATGCAGGTAAAACAGGCTCGCGTTAGCTTTAGTAATGCTCCGATACCCCGACGTTGACTGGCTGTATAGCGTTGTCCCGACGATCAACACGCCCCGGGGCCAAGTCCGACTAGCAGCGTTGACTGTTTCCTCAACGCCTGAATCTGGCCGTCTTTGTGGAGATGTGCGGTTGAGAAAACTCCACGCCATTTCTGCACATCTCCACAAACACGACCAGATTCAGGCGTTGAGGAAACAGTCAACGCTGTAGTAGTGGGACCTGACCCCCGGTCCCGGTCTGTCATTGAATCTAAAAAGGGACGCCGGACCTGTTTTTCTTCCCTCAAACGCACGCACACACACACACACACACACACACAACAACCAACCAAAAAAAAAAAAAAAAAAGATTCTGCCTTTTTTTAAAAAGCGCGACGGCCTTGAGATATCATCCTTGCCCAAAAAAAAAAAAAAAAGGAATATCATCATTGAGCTGACCGGCCCCAGGCAATTAGGTTTTACTCGTCAATCAAGTTCCATCATCAGGATTCGAACACAGGTCTGTATGTCAACAGCACGTGTGAACGTGAGTCTCTGTTTTTTCTTTTTCTTTTTAAAGCTATGTTCTTCTCTCAATTTCACCTCACACTACCTACCTCCCACTACTCCTAATTGTAGGCATACGGGGAACCCCGTAGCAGCCAGAACCGTGTTCATGCGAGAACATGCGGGGGCTGCTCCCGACCTGCAGGTGGCCGACACCCGCAAGACTGTTCTTCAAGCTTTGAGTCCCCCAGTGTTAACAGCACGTATTAACGTGAGTCTTTTTTTTTTTTTTTTTTTTTTTTTTTTTTTTTTTTTTTTTTTTTTTTTTTTTTTTTTTTTTTTTTTTTTTTT